TGCCGGGATTAGAACCAGTGTCCACATGAGATTCCGGCGCATTCAAGGCAACGACTTTAGCCACTAGGCCACGGCGCCGGGCCCTCAGATAAGACATTTTAAAAATTGTCTTTTCTTTTTTCTTTGTTTAAAAATTTATTTTATTTTTATTGGAAAGGTGGATATACAGAGAAGAGAGACAGAGAGGAAGATCTTCTGTCCGATGATTCACTCCCCAAGTGAGCGCAACGGCCGATGCTGAGCCGATCCGAAGCCAGGAGCCAGGAATCTCTTCCAGGTCTCCCATGCAGGTGCAGGGTCCCAAAGCTTTGGGCCGTCCTTGACTGCTTTCCCAGGCCACAGGCAGGGAGCTGGATGGGAAGTGGAGCTGCCAGGATTAGAACCGGCACCCATATAGGATCCTGGGCATGCAAGGTGAGGACCTTAACCGCTGCACCACCGCGCTGGGCCCAAAAATTGTCTTTTCAACCACCATTTCTGGATGTTTGTCTTAGTCTAAGCCAGAATTTTCATTTGCTCTCATTTCTTTTTTTTTTTTAGATTTATTTTTATTGGAAAGGCAGATCTATAGAGAGGAAAGGTCTTTCCACTGGTTCACTCCCCAAATGGCCAATGGCCAGAGCTGAGCTGATCCAAGCCCAGGAGCCAGGAGCTCTCCCCTGTGGGCGCAGGGTCCCACGGCTTTGGCTCATTCTCTCCTTTTCCAGACTGCAGGGAAGGAGCTGGACAGAAAGCGGAGCATCCAGGACCCAAACTTGGTGCTCATATGGAATCCTAGCCCTAGAAGGGAGAGGATTAGTCTGTTGAGCTATTGCACCAGGCCCTCGTGTCTTCTCTAAACACATTTGCCATTGCTTGTCTGACAAAAGAGGCAGACACACAGAGAACTCTTCTTTCCATCGAGTTTCTCCCCAAATGGCTCTAACAGCTGCAGCTGGGCCAGCATAAAGCTGGGAAGACAGGACTCAACCCAGGTCCTCATGTGGTTGGCAAAAACCCAAATCCTGGGCCATCTCCTGCCTCAGGGATCTGAACCCAGGCACTGATAGCAGTGTGGGCAGCTCAAGTCGCCTCTTCCCTGCTTGTAAAGAAAAATACTTTAAAAAGATGTATTTATTTGAAAGGCAGAGTTCAGAGACAGGGCAAGACAGAGATCTTCCATCCACCGGCTCACTTCCCAAATGGCTGCAGCCGGGCAGGAGCTTCTGGGTCTCGCGGGCGGGTGCAGGGCTGGGTTCTGGAGCCAGGCTCTGCTGTCCCGGGTGCATCAGCAGGGAGCAGGACTGGAAGTGGAGCAGCTCGCACCTCAAGTGCTGCTGTGTGGATGCCGGCGCCACAGGCGGAGGCCTTATCCGACTTCTTTATTTGAAAGGTGGAGAGATGGGGGGGGCTGGGAAGTCGGTGGGTAAGGGACGAGAGATGAGGCAGCAAAGGAACAAGAGAATAAAATCTCCCTGCTGCTGGTTCACTCCCAAACACGCAGCAGCTGAGGCTGGGCCAGCTCAGAGCACCTGGGCGGTCATGCGTCGTCCTCCCGAGGCGCGAATTCTCAGGAAGCTAGAACGGGAGCAGAGCCCGGGCTTGGATGCAGACAGCGCCACTAGACACGGGCAGCCAAAGTGCCTCTATTACCTTTAATGGCCCAGTTTCACTTTCAAGTTTTCTTCACCTCACCAAGAACAATTTAAAATAGCTCTCATTTCATTTCTTTATGATGTTTTACTATTTTTTGAAAAACTTACTGTAATATGAACCCAGTCATGTTCATCCTCATGTTCCCAGCTCCCGTCACAGCGCCTACCACACAGTGGTCACATAATGTCACTGATCTGAAAATATCTCCCTCCATGAATAATGGATCTGAACTCTAAAGAACTTGGATTAAATTCAGAGAACTGGGGAGGGTATCTGGCCTAGAATTTATGATGCTCGCATCCCAAGGGGCATCTTGCTCACTGTGCCAAATGCTTACCCCCCAAATACTTGAGTTTTTTAAAGACTTGCTTGAAAGGCAGTGTTATAGAAAAGACATCTTCCATCTGCTGATCAATTCACTCCCTAAATTGGTCTCAACGGCTGTAGCTGGGCCAAAGCCAGGAGATTCTTGTGGGTCTCCCACGTGGGTGCAGAGGTCCCAGGACGTGAGCGAGCGCCCATGTGGGATGCCAGTGCTACAGGTGGAGGATTAACCTACCACGCCATGGCACCAGCCCCCTTATCTTACTTTGCTGATTTGGGTTTTTCTCAGGCTTGAAAACTTCTTAGGACATCTACAAAACGGATATTATGGTAGTCTTGCTATGCTAAGAACACTGTTAGCTTCTTGCTTGGTACTCAAAACTCCCTACCACCCAAAGTTTCACACCCACTCCAACCATACACTCAGTTCCTTCACAGAACAAGATTCGGTTCCTGGGACTGGTCTTTGCTGGACCCTCACCCATGGGCAGCTGATGGCTGTGTACCTCTGGCTAAATGCTTGACATCTACCCTTCCAGTGGCAGAACAGGTATCGTGGTGGCCAATACAGATCTAGTGACTCAGAACAGTGACAGTGGGGTGGGGTGGGTGTTCTGGGGCTGCCAGTCGGTCCCACTTGGGTCTCCCAGATGCAACATCAGAGCTCCTCATTCAAGTCCTGGCTCCTCCACTTCCAAACCCACTGGCTGGGAGGGGATTTACCTGCTACACCACACTGCTGGTCCCTCATCTTATTGGTTGAAAGTTTGATTTATTTGAAAGTTAGAGAGGAGAGAGCATTTCATTGTGCTGGTTCTATCTTCCCAGATGGCTGCAGCAGCAAGAGTTGGACCAAGAGCTTCTGGTCTCCCACTTAAGCCATCTTCCACTGCTTCTCCAAGCCTGTTAGAAGGGAGCTGGATCAGAAGTGAAGCTGGGATGCCGGCGTGCTAAGTGGCAGCTTTACCCACTATGCCTCAATGCTGACGAGCCTTGGGAAAGTTATCCCATTTTTTGGCTCATCTGCATCGTGTGTGTTTAATACAGTGCCCGACATGTGCTAAGAGTCACAGGCTAGCTATTATACCACTTGGTTGTACTGTTTGATTAACTAGGCCAACTAACTAATACTCTATTAACAAAGGCAGTTCTATAAAATTTCAAAAAGCAAAGTAAGCATTTTGTCTGATGTTTAAAAGCCTTTCGACTCATAGCCACAATTCTTCTATTTAATAAGAGGGCATGCTGAGAGACTAAATGCACAACATATCTTTTAGTCTTGATGAGCTCTGACCAAATGACTACTTAGAACTTAATTTTCCTATCCCTGTAGTAAGCGAGTCTTTTTACAATCCAGTCTCTCGGGCGCGGTGCAGTAGCCTAGTGGATAAAGTCCTCGCCTTGCACATGCTGGAATCTCATATGGACACCAATTCTAATCCCGGCAGCCCCACTTCCCATCCAGCTCTCTGCTTGTGGCCTGGGAAAGCAGTCGAGGACAGCCCAAAGCCTTGGGACTCTGCACTTGCATGGGAGATAGGAGGAAGTTCCTGGCTCCTGGCTTTGGATCAGCGCAGCACCGGCCGTTGTGGCCACTTGGGAAGTGAATCAGTGAATGGAAGATCTTCCTCTCTGTCCCTCCTCCTCTCTGTATATCCGACTTTGCAATAAAAATAATCTTAAGGGCCCGGCACGGTGGCGCAGTGGTTAAGGTCCTCGCCTTGCATGCCCAGGATCCCATGTGGGAGCCAGTTCTATCCCGGCAGCCCTGCTTCCCTTCCAGCTCCCTGCCTGTGGCCCAGGAAAGCAGTCGAGGACGGCCCAAAACTTTGGGACCCAATACCCACGTGGGAGACCCGGAAGAGGCTCCTGGCTTCGGATCGGCATAGTATCGGCCCGTTGCGCTCACTCGGGGAGTGAATCATCTGACGGAAGATCTTCCTCTCTGTCTCTCTTCTCTGTATATCTGCCTTTCCAATAAAAATAAAAAAATAAATCTTTAAAAAAAAAATAATCTTAAAAAAAAATGACGACGACGGTGGTAAAATGGGCATAGTGCACTTCAAAAAATGTAGCTCTCCTCACCCCATCCCCCAAAGGTAGAATTTGGTGTTCAGTGCTTTTGAATCAGACCAGAAAAAATTGTGGGGGCAAAATTACTGAATAGGCCACATGAGGAGGGTTGAAGCACTTTTAATCAGGACGAGTAAACATCAGCATCCAACCAAGAGCGGCCCCCTGACGGCTGCTGTCCTGCGCCCTCAGCTCCCCTCTCCACCCTCCCCGCGTACCGTTGAGTAAAGAGCAGGGAGCTGGTGGCCGTCCCTGTCAGCATCAGCTGGTAGGGAGGGGATGTGGCTGGAGGCTGCAGCAGTCCTGGCTGTCCACCCATGGCTCTCTGTTTCTACACAACTTCATCAATGCAAGAGATTCCAGCTCCAAGAGAAGAACAGTGCAGAAACCGGGGGGCTGAACTTGACGGCTCCATTCTGGCGGTCCAGAGGCTCTCAAGAGCCCAGGGCAGCGAGGGAGGACAGTCCCGGCAGCACAATTTCAGAGGTGGTCAGAGGACCAGGTGAGGCCTAGTGGCCCCAGTCCCAAACTGTGTCAACTCAGACGATCTCTCTCTCTCTCTCTCTCACACACACACACATACACACGCGCGCGCACACACAGAGCAAATAACATTATTTAAGGACCTGAAGGCTATTAAATACAAAATGGCAGACATTTAAAAAAAAAAGTGAAAATATTTGCCTGTTTGATTCTCCTCAGTGCCTTGCAGTCCCACAGGAGTGGAGATGTGGGGAGGCCCCAACAGCGTGGGCTGCTGGTGGCCTACCTAGTCCACGTGTGCTCAAGCACCCATACCAGCCACTTTACTCTTCGGCCCAGTGGCTGCCTCCCATGTGACCGTTCACACAGTTGGCCCCGTTGCTGGAGCTGCTGCCACAGGGGCCCTTTGTGCACGTGGCCACATCTTCCTCTTCTGAGCTGCTCTCCACATCACTGCGGTCATCCTTGGACACCTGCGTGGCACGGAACCAAAGGCAGGGAAGTGAGAAAGGTCAGGCTCCCAGAGCCACCGCCTGAGCAGAGTCCCCAGTCTGGCCCTCTTCCTGGCGACACCTGGCTGCACTCGTGTTCTGGAGCTTCGCCTGAGTTCCGTCTTTCTCTTTATTCTATCTAATCCTGTAGCAGAGCACCTTTCCTTCAGAGCTCTGAGCGCTGCCATCATTCCCTTAGTCACGGCTGACAGTTAACCAGAGAACCACCCATGACGGTCCTGTTGCCTCCGTCTTGTGTGCCGTGGACGCTGCACTTATGCAGCTTGGCTATCCTGGGTTTTGTTCTCCTCAAACCTGATCCATGGGAGCTTTAGCAGAAGTCTCCATTACTTCTGGCCTCGGGCCTTATTATTTCATGACACCACAGCCAAATCTTCTCTCCTTTCCCTGTCTAGGTCACCTGACACTTAGCTGCCCCGAGGGCAGGCGGTTGCTGGAGAGGACGCCATTCCCACTTTGTCACCCACAAACCTGCACATCTGACAGTGAGCTTTTGTGTTTTGCATTTTCAGGTGAAGAGTTTGAGAAAGAATAATGTTTTCTAAAACAAAATGTCCTGCAAATGAAAAAATGACTTTAAAGTCTCATGGGTCATAAATGTGAGGAGGAAAAACCCTGTGAGTCTAGTACTAGACTTCTGACCTCTGAACTCGTGGATCATAAATCTATAATTAAAATCAGGACCAAAAAGTAAGGGAGAGAAAGGAGTGAAGAGGAGCAGAGCTACAGATGCTGTTGCCCAGAAGGTGGCCATTTATTCTGGATCATTCCCATAATCAACAGTTTATTATTACAGGCTGTGGACGTCTGATCCCAGACTAACTTGGTCACCTGATGATTAGGACATTTCCACCAGGGGGCACAATGTCTCTGGATAGGAGGGGAAAGGACCTGGCGAGCTGGGCTGTAGTCACAGCCCCACAGCTCAGGAGAGAGGAGCTCGGAGACAAACACAGGGGCACAGAATGGAGAACAGGAAGAGAACCGCTTCCCCCAGCACTAGAAGCACAGATACACTTACATGCAAGAGATGGGACTGTCCAACTCCCAGCAGGCATAGAAAAAAGGAAGGAGGTGAGAAAAGAGTGGAGAGTACAGAGTCGGGGTCTAATCCTTCCTGGACAGGCCACCTGGTCAGGAAAGAAAGACACGCAGTCGCTATAGCAAGGTGCATCAGTGCACTGAGCCACCTACCATGACAGCACAGAAGAGCACACATACCCAGGCCACTCCACCCACTGTTCCTCCCACTCAGGATTCTGTATTCCTGAAGGCTCAAACTGCTGGGCTAATCTGTCCCCACCACTTGAGAAACGCAATACTGAGTTTCCTAATGAAATTTAACAATGGCATCACTGAGCCTGCAGACTTTTATATTAAACACGTAAGACCCCTGCCTTATACAAGAGAGGCGGGGAGGCAGGCACACAGCTGACCGCCTTCCCAGCACCCCCTCCTAAGCACTCCAGCAGTCTGATGTTTCTATCTTGGTGCTCTGCCTGTGATCTCCTTTGGAAAAGGCCGCTTGGGCTGAGAAAGAATGTGCAACCCTTCGAAGATGGTAGCTGAGGGGCAGGAAATGGGGGAAGCCTTCTCTCAACTCCAAAGCCCACTTGCTCTTCACCTGCAGTCAGTCTTAAGGGACAGGAAGACGATGGATCCTTCCCCTTGCAACATTCACAAACATTGCAGGGTAAGCACTCTGGAGCCCTGGGCTTTATGCTAGGCTTGCCTGTCCACGTGGGAATCACAAGGCCAGACAGCAAGACAGCCTGTTGGCTAACGCACATCTCCCCACACAGCCCAAAGAAACCATCCTGCCTTCTCACCTTTCCTCGGATAAAGGCTTTGAAAGCAATTCGTGCAATTAGGTAGGACCAGACGATATGCAGAACCTGTAGGACCAGGAGCAGGCCATTGAAGAGCCACCAGGAAGGATAGGGTCCAATCATCTCCCAGCTCTCAAAGAGGGTCGTGTTCAGAATCCTGGAAGAGAAGTCAAGTGTCAGATTCCAAGGTTAAAGCTGGGCACACAGGAACGAGGTGGCACTCCCTGGGAGAAAGGGACTTGTGTGCGCCTTTCCCATACCTTCAATCAGTTGGATTTCAGGGTTATTTATCCACAGTGAGAAAGCATGAAGAAAGGAGAGAGACTGTGGGGTTTTCTATTTTTAAGAGCACAGGAGCTACAACTCTTATGACAGTCACACTGTCAGTCACTTCCAATAGGCAGTTTCAGATCTAGTATATGCAAGACAGTAGTAGCAGATTCTCTGAGACTAAGCAGAGTCTGCACCCCAAAGGGTCACTGACTGCAGCATGAACTGCTGGCTGTAGAACTGTGTGTCACAGTGGGCAGCCGCTCTTTACAACATCTGTGGCCCATCTTGGAGCAGTGAGTTTGAGTTTTGAGTTCTGGCTACACTGCTTCTGATCCAATTCCAAGCTCATGTACCTGGGAAGGCAGCAGAAGATGGCCCACGTCCTTGGATCCCTACCATCCACATGGGGACCAGGATGGAATTCCAGGTTCCTGGCTTTGGCCTGGCCCAGCCCTGACTGTCAGGGCCATTTGGGGACAAAGCCAACAGATGGAAGATCTCTGTCAATTTGCTTTCATCATCATCATTATCTTCATCATCATCCGTGTATGTGTTGGTCAGGGTGAAAAAATGGGTATACAGCAAGAACATCATGAGCGAAAAGAGCCTAAGTATTTTGTAATCAGTGCAAAAGGCAAAGGGAGGACTCAGAAAAGGAGCACTGTCCCTCAGAAAGGAGTCAGGAAAGCCAAAAGCCAATGAACTGCTCTCCTGAGCTGGGAGCCTCGTGGAAGGCGGCGGAGGTCCTGGGCGAGTTCTACAAAGGGCTGACTTAGGCCAAGGAAGCAGTAGGACAATAGGGCTCCCCGTTTCCTGTTCACCACATACCTAACACAGCTCCAAAGGCATGCCACCTACCAGACTGGATAGATTGCTAGACGAGTGACCACAAAAACAGCACCGAAGATCACGAAGAGGGTGTCACACAGTCGCTGATACTTGGCATAATTTGCTAGCTTAGCTGCCTGTGAAAAGGAAGAGGACTGAGTTGGGACGAGGGTCAGTTCTCACAAGGGAAGAAGCGGATACAAAGTTGGAGTCTTACCTCCAGCAAGAAGTCTGAGGCATCATGCAGACACATGACCAGGGTTCCCACCCGGACCATGTTGTTGATGTAGGAGAAGGTGATAAGCCCAATAGTCGCCAAATGATGCACAAACATAAGCAGGAAGTCCTAAGAAGGAAAGGCACTGCATGAGCTAAGGGCAAAGCTGTGGCAATGCCAGCTAGGCCAGCTTCTTGCATTACTCTGAGGGTCTGACCACTACCCCTCACAGGGTCCACTTTGATTACGTTCTCCCTGAAGGAGCCGCCTGGCATTTAAGCCAGCATCCCTCCAGTGACTGACCCAGTCTGTGCTACTACACCTGAAGCATACAGCAGAGCCATTTTCTTTGATCACTGCGGAATCTGTCGAGCACGCATGCTGAGCTGACACCTGGGAGAAATCTCCCAGGCGGTGCTGGGACACACAAAGCTTACACGTCCCTGAGATTCTAAAGCTTTCTGGCTCTAATGGAAGACATTTAAACTGAAGGGATCCAAGAGAAAGGAAATGTCTGTAAAGGAGCAATGCTAAACTTTTCCACAAAGTTCCAGATAAATGCTTTTTAGTTAAACGCTCCATCTTATTGCAAAGCACTTCCTGCTTTCAGATTTTTTTTGAAAGATTTATTTTTTTCAATCTTAAAGGCAGGTGTACAGACAGAAGGAGAGACAGAGAGGAAGACCTTCCATCTGTTGATTCACTCCCCAAGTGGCTGCAACAGCCAGAGCTGAAATGATCTGAAACCAGGAGCCTGGAGCTTCCTCCAGGTCTCCCACGTGGGTACAGGGTCCCAAGGCCTTGGACTGACCTTGACTGCTTTCCCAGGCCACAGGCAGGGAGCTGGATGGGAAGCAGGGCCACTAGGATTAGAATTGGTGCCCCACCAGCTGGAATTGGGGGTGGACCGGGCCAGGCTAGGCTAGGCTACAGCACCCACTAGCAAATGCTGAAGTGAGGTGGGCCAATCCAGACTGGGCCGCAGCACCCAGCTAGTAGGAACCAGGGAGAGATGGAGTAAAACCGGTAGGGGGAATGTGGAGGGCCCCCTTGTTGGAACACCTCGCCTACTGGAAAGCATGAGTTGGGATGGGGGCAGACCAGATCAGGCAGGGCTACAATACTTTGTGGGCCTCATGTGAGCCAGATCAGGGAAGAGCCAGGCTTGGTTGACTGTCCCTACTGCTACAAACATAAAGCAGAATGGGTGAGGGTTGGTTGGGCTTTGCCACAGCATCAGATAGCAGATGCTGGCACCAGTGGCTAATCTGTCAAGTTGGGGGCAGGGGTGGCTGGATAGAACGGCAACCACCAGCATGTGTGTGGGTTGGATAGTCAGGCTCGTTGGGTTGAACTAGGCTTCAATGCCCATTGACAGGTATGAGAGTTGAATGGGATGTGGGACAGACTGGCCAAGTCTGTGGTACATATGGGCAAACGCAGGAACCAGGGCAGAGGGCAGGCCTGGTGGGGGTTATTGTGGTCACTCTGACTAGACTACAGCTCCAGCTGGTTTATGCGAGGACTGAGTGTGTGCTGGGCAGAACCAGGCTGGACTGCAACACCCATTGGTTCCAGTGGAAGACAGGGCTGGAAGCAGAACCAACCCAGCAATTGCAACCACCAGCTGATTGGGGCAATGGACTGTGCTGGGCCCTGTGCTTGCAAGTACACACAAGAACCTGGTCTGGGAACACCTCAGACAAAGTTTCTTTGGGGATCTCCCAAATCGAACTGCTGGACTCAAAACCCTAACCATGAAGAGAAGTGCAGGTTCCTTGGTCTGCCAAGGAATGCGAGTGCCAGAGCCAAGCCTCCTCAGAGCTCAGACAGAGCAGTGGACAGCATATCCAGGTGCACATGGAGGATATGGCAGTCCATCAGAACCTGCAGAGGACACCTGGCACCACAACAGAGGACAGAACAAATCAGCCAACTACCCCAGCCAAATGTTGGCAGTGAAAAACTGGGCAAACAGAGACTCTAAGGTGGACTGTGTCAGTCAGTGGATTCTGGAGAGATTTCATTGTGCTTGGAATGGCAAGACTGGCAGCAATTCCTAACTACTGAACTATCGAAACCACCTGAGCAGTGCCCTCGGAGCATGCTCCACATCCGGGACCTGGGATGGGTGGGAGACTGGGTGGGGCTTCTTCCCTTTATCTCCCCGTTTGCCCCGGATACAGAAAAAAAAGTGTAGAAACAATGGTCTCACCCACTTTCCTGTAGTCCTTGACCCTTTATGACCTAATTAACTATGTAAAGATTGTCAAAAAAAAAAAAGAGCTGGTGCCCATGTGAGATCCCAGTGCATGCAAGATGAGGACTTAAGCAGCTAAGCTACTGCGCCGGACCCTCTGCTTTTAGATTTAAGGCTCCAAGTATGTTTTGGGTTCAAATGCTAAGGTCAGATCTGGAAAAACCTATAGATACTCGAGTTATCAGAGATATCTGTTGAATACTTCTGAGCCTTGTGAGGGGCAGAAGGTGAGAGAAAGTAGGTGACAAGTCTGTGCTCTCCATGTATATATCACGGTATTAATAATGTTCTAGATCTTTACTGATGATCTTACAAGTATACAGTCTGCTACGTTTTAAAATTTATACATGCATTTCAAACTTTTTTATATGACATGTAGTAAAACAAAATCTTAATAACAAGATGTGTGTTCCCTGACTTCGACAATGAGAGGTGTCAGAACCCCTTATCCAATTTCTTTAATGCTAACAGTCCCCCCCGAGGTCATCGGGAGCTAGTGACAGGTCAGGGTTAGTGTCTGCAGCTGCCTCAGGTGTGGACTGTTAGTGTCAGCACGTGGCGGTGAGTGGAGGGGGAGTTCCAGACTCTACAGAACTGTACCATAAAATTCAAAAATTAAAAATTTAAAAAAAAGGAAAAAGTAGAGATTCTGCCCTTTATGTCTAGTTACAGAAAATTCAAATCATTTTGAGGTGCCGACATTTGCAGTGCAAACGTTAAGCCACTGCCTGTGAGAATGGCGTCTCATATGAGCGCTGGTTTGAGTCCTGGTGGGCCCACTTCTGACCCAGCTTCCTGGTAACACGTCTGGGAAAGCAGCAGAAGGGAGACCTGGGTGCCCTCAGCTCCAGGCTGGCATATCCCTGGCTGGCATAGCCATTCAGGGAGTGAGCCAGTAGATCAACCATGGACGGATCTGTCTCCCTCCCTCCCTCCTACAGCTCTGTAACTTTGCATTTCAAAGAAGTAACTACATTTTAAAAATTACTTATAACTAATTGCATGGGCAAGTCAATTCACTTCTTTGTTTCTGAAACAAATTGTAAGATCCCTTCCAGCTGACATTCTTTGAGTAAGTGAAATAAATGAAAAGGATGGTGAAAAAGACACATGTGTCTGTCACCCAGTGTCACACAAACACCAGATGCAACTTTTGAAGAATCAGGACTTTTTTTTAGAATCAGGCCTTGATATCCAAGTCTTAGCTCATTTTCTGAGCTCTGGACACGGCAGAGCCTTGAGGAGCTCGCAGCACAAGCAGCATACCTCTCTGCCGGCTAACGCCCTCACCCTGGGCAGCCTTCACTGTGACACAGACTTGATCATTGAGTGAGCTTCCTTGCTGGGGACACTGTCCAATCCCAACAGTCCTCCCCTCCCACACCTATCTCCCTCCCGGTGGGCTCGTCAGCGAGGACACCTGTCGCAATGGCTGCTAGAGAGGAGGATGCAGAAAGTTGAGGCGCTGAGGGAATTCAGGTCCTTACCTTTCTTTTAATGTCTATAAACTGAGAGAACATAAGAGACCAATAGAAGGCCAGTTCCATGACATAATAGTAGTAAAGTCCATTTGAAAGAGGCTGGAAGAGAGAAAACAGTAGTTACAGCTGAAGGCACCTTCCATCAACAACACTTCCTCCACCTTGCAGGACCAGCACCTCCCCGGTCAGATATCTCTCCTCCCCAGCACTTCCCAAGAGCTCAGGGATTTTGGAAAGTGTGAAGATTGTCAGTATCTTTCCTCTGCTCCCACACACCCTCTTAGGATTCATCTCTAGCAGATGAGTTACGGTTATTTCACATTAGAGCACAATCCATCAATACATCTAGTTAGTGCTTTTCAAACAATTAAATACACTCAGGCCTTGCTTCCCCATTGCTCGACAGTTCTTTCACATTTGTCTGGAACAGGTTAGAACCGAGATGCACTTAAGAGAAGGCTAAATTGGCACTGATATATAAACAGGACACCCTGCCAGAAAGTACCTCATTACATGCAGGGGAACTACTTTTGTTCCCAGCCCTAATGGGGAACTTGCAACAAAAAGCTCCCTGGATTTCACTGCTATGGTACCCTGGACATACCTGGGGGAATGCCATCTGTCCTTGGCTGGCAAAACATTCTACCCACCCCACTCTGTACACATATGCAGGGAAATAAAATAATTTTGGTGCAAAAACTTTTGAAATCCATGCATTGGATTTTTAAACATGTAGTTTCCATGAACTCCACAGCTCAGATTTTACCTGATATGGATAGCTATGCCAGCACTGCCGGGTGTCCCAGAACCAAGGTGACTAAAGAGAACAGATAATGCTGGTTAGTCTCAGGATTCCCATCTGCCCTGCTTCAAGACCACTTGCATGTCCTGACTTCCTATGCACCGTGTGTGCCCTCTATGCCCTGTACACCCTGTGTGCCCCCTATGCCCTGTACACCCTGTGTGCCCTCTACGCCCTGTACACCCTGTACACCGTGTGCCCCCTATGCTCTGCACAACCTGTGTGCCCCCCTACACTCTGTACACCCTGTGTGCTCCCTATGCCCTGCACACCCTGTGTGCCCCCTATGCCCTGTACACCCTGTGTGCCCTCTATGCTCTGTACATCCTGTGTGCCTTGTATGCTTTCTCTCCATGCCAGCGGCAACAGAGACAGAAGAAAGAATTGCCTTGACAGATCTGAGAATCTCTAAAGGATCAAAAAAATGGTTAGATTTTTCTTCTACAAGTGTGAGTGTGTGTTTAAAGATTAAATTATTTTGATTTGAAAGACAGTTACAGAGAGAGGACAGACAAATGGCCACATGGCCTGAGCTGGGTTGGTCTGAAGCCAGAAGCCTTGAGTTTCTTCCAGGCCCCTCAGAGAGATGCAGGGCCTCCCAGGCCATAAGTGGGGAGTTACACTGGATCTGAACTGGCACCCATATGGGATGCCAATACCACAGGTGAGGGTTAGCTTACTCTGCCACAGTGCTGGCCCCAAGGAAATGTTATTATAAATAGAAGACTATTACTACCTATTACTACCTGGGATATAAAAATCTGGGAAGCAGGAAGACAGTGAGACCATTCAATAATACAGGGCTGGCATTGCTGTACAGCACGGTAAGCCACTGTTTGTAATATCTGCATCCCATACTGGAGTGCTGGTTTGCAAACTGGCTACTCTGCTTCTCATCCACTTCCTTGTAATGTGCCTGGGAAAGCAACAGATACTGGCCACTCGATACGTGTAGAAAGAGTTCCAGGCTTCTGGCTTGGGTCTGGGCCAGACCTGGCTGAACCAGGGAATGAAAAAAATCCCTTTCTGGTCTCTTCCTCTTGTGTGTTACGCCGCCTTTGAAACAAACAAATCAATCGTAAAGGAGCACAGCAGGGGCAGGTGTTGGGGCACAGCAAGTTGGGCTGCTGCTTGCGATCCAGCCCCAGATATCACGCCTGAGAGCATGGGCCAAGCACCTGGGCCCTGCCACTTCTTAGAAAAAAAAAATTATTGATTTTTTATTGCAAAGTCTGATATACAGAGAGGAGGAGAGACAGAGAGGAACATTGTCCATCCAATGATTCACTCCCTAAGTGAGCGCAACGGCTGGAGCTGAGCCAATCTGAAGCCAGAAGCCTGGAGCTTTTCCGGGTCTCCCACACAGGTGCAGGGTCCCAAGCCTTTAGGCTGTCCTCGACTGCTTTCCCAGGCCACAAGCAGGGAGCTGGATGGGAAGTGGAGCTGCCAGGATTAGAACCCACGTCCATCACTTCTTGGGCTTTTGGCTAAGATCCAGTGTAGAAGTGGTGTCCATATGGGATCTTGGCACACATTAGCTGAGGACTTTCACCTGTAAGCTATTGTGCTGGGTCCTATTATGATCTTCTTCTTCTTTAAAAACAAACAAACAAACAAACAAAAAAAACCTTTGTTTATTTGGTTGAAAGGCAGACTGAGAAAGAAAGATCTTTCATTTATTAGTTTACTCTCCAGATGACTGCAACAATAGGCTATTACCAATTTTAATCAAACTTTTCAGAAACCTGATTTCTGGCTTTATTTTACCAACTGTTTCATGTGTAGCTCATGAATTTCTACATTTTCTTTCTGTAACTTTCTTTGGGTTTACTTTATTCTTTGTCTAGGTTAGGAAGTAGAAACCTAGATTACTGACTCAAGCCCTTCTTTTATGATATAAAATTTTCAGTTTGCTGTAGCAGTATCACACTGGTTTAGTATATTTTCAGCATATAATTAAAGATATTTTCTAATTTCCCTTACAATTAAGAGAGTTAACTTGTAAATATGTTCTCTATTACCTTATGATTATTTATTTCTATAATGATCTCATTATGTTCAGAGAATATACATCTATATTTAGTAAGCAACGCAGCCCCCACTACCACACATTATGCAGTCGTGTTTCCCGCATTTGGGGAGGTCGCAGGGTCAGCACGCGCGGAGTGCAGTGGATAAGCCTCGCCCCGGGAGAACCCCCTTCGTGGTCATGGCATCTCCCAGCCAGGTAAGTATGAGAGAATATATTTTGTAAGGCATCACTAGTCTGCAGCTTATGGTCCAGAACATGGTCTATTTTGGATGTCTGTGTGTGCTTCAAAATTAGACGTATTCATAGCTCTTGGTATAGTGTTCCAAGGACTGACCAGAATGTTAGTAAGGTCAGACTGGTCGCTCATGGTCATGTCACTCTGCACCGTTCACATCCTTGGCGATGATTTTCTTTTGGATTTAGCAACGTACGGAGGGAGTCGTTTTAAAACCCCAGTTCTGCCTGGTGTCTGACTCCCTTTATTTTCAAAGTATAATCACATCATCTAGAGAGAAATCATGTGGCACACGGGAAAACACGCAATCAGGAATCACAACGGCCTGCAATTCTTGGACTCTGAACAAGTGGAAAGTGAGAATAACATCGTTTCATCCATTTGGCAGGTGAAATTGATCCCAGTTCAGGATTTGTGGTAAGTACTTGCGAATCATTAAGTACTGTTCCAATTTAGTTGCTTCTATTACTATGAGCATGACAGGCGGGGTCAAGAGGTTACTGAAGTCAGGTCCTGGACAGAAGACAATCTGGCAACGTGCCGGCACCACAGAGGAAGAGCACTTAGGGAAAAACAAAGAGTAAAGAACTTTGCTCCCCTATCTGGAGATCCATGCTTGGTTAGCACCCAATCGGAAGACAAGAGAAGTTCAGACTCACCGACCAGAGAAATCTAATCCCGTAGCAGAATATACATAAATAAAAAGTGAATCGCCACCTGGGTGGGCAAAAAGCACAGGTTAGACGAGTGTCCATTCAGAAGAGAGTCCTGGAGGGAGTGAGGAGACAGCTACTCATGAGGCAGCTGAGTTTCCCTGAATAGTGGCAGACATTGTCACCTCCAGCCTGTGTCAAGCAGACTTCCGCAAGGACATGCTGGCGTCAATTCTTTTCTTCCCTATCAGACACCTGACGACAGGGGGAGCATGGCAATGACTGATACTATATTTCACTTCCAAGAAACCCAGTGAAATGAAGTATAGCATTTGCTGGGAAGAGATGTTTCTCACGAAAATGTCATCTAGAGTAAGCTGCTATTGTCCCCATCAAGATGTGCAAAGTTACAGAAGTCACTCTGAAGCCATTTGGGTAATGGGAGAAAAAAATGGAGCCACATCTGGCTGTGCGGGACTGAAGATAAGCTTTCTGATTTTCTCCTCCTTGCCCTGTAACAGCTGAGTCAGGCCTTCCCATCCTCAGCCGAGCACCCCGTGGGAATGACTGCCAGGAAGAGAACCCCAGCCGTGTCCCACCATCTCCCCGCCCCCCATCTCCCTCTGCACACCTACATGCTTTCACAGAACTTAGTGAGCGTTGGGGGCTTGTCCTGGTTCCTCCGGTGGCGAAACCAGCACTGGATTTTTCGGACATCCCAGTCCAGTTGCTTGGATAGGCCCTCCAGCCTTTGCTCGTCAGGATACTGTGGACATAGGACCAGAGGTGGACCACTCAATTCTCCTCCAGCTCCTCCTCCTTTCATCCCTCTGACTCGCTAGTTGGCAGCAGCGTGAGAACGACACTGGCTCAACTGATGGTTATCATTCCAGGTTTCATCCCACAGTCATTGCTAGCAAGAAGCCCTATCTTGTAGGTCATGGGCCTTTACTACTCACAGACACATCCTCCTCGTGGGTCTTCACCCTCAAGTCCAAGCGGATAAAAAAAAAAGGCAATAAAACCCAAACTCTAAATATCACCCATACCACGCCCATTCTGATATGCAACTAAGTAACAGCAGAAGCTGGAGCAAAGAAAAACAAACATGATGTGATTTGGGCAAAGAGGTGGAGATGACTGCTGGGCCTGAAACTCAAGGCATGAACTTGACTATGTAGGGCGGGCCTTTCAGGCTGCGGAGACGACCCCCACGTTAAAGACCACCCCATTCTGTCTGTCCTCTCCCTGCCCGGCGGGGCAACCCCCCTCAGCAATTCGCCTGTTTCTCTGCCCACTTACCTTGGTAATGGATACAAACACCTTCTCAAGGATGGCATTGGATGGGACCAGAGCAGGCCCTCTGTCCTCGATGCCAACATGGAGTGCACAGGGTTTGGCAATGAACCTGCAACAGAGAAAACCAAAGGGCAGTTCGACACGTGCTGCAGCAGAAGGCCAGTCCTGAGGAGGACAGCAACAGGGCGAACGCTGCAAATCTCTGATTTCATCCGGGATGCCGCGATCAACACACTGGGGAACTGACCGGTTCATGAGCTCCTGGCAGGTGGCCATTTCACCCCCCCCCCCCGCCCGAGCAGGCAGTGGTGACCGCGCCTCGCTCTGGACTTGCTGGGCTCTGGCTCCTGGCTGCCCCCAGCTCCTGGGGGGCAGCAGCGAGTTCCCACACCCTGGCATGCTTTCCCAGCTCCCCGCTTAAGCCCGCTGAAGAGATAGAAAGGGTGGACTAGCAGGTGAGAGATCTCTTTTTCTGCTTCTCAAAAAAAATCACACACACACACACACAAAAAGTTGAAACAGAGCTTTTTTGCTGACTTATCACTTGTTGAGCTTTGAAGTAAAAAAAAAAAAAAAAGAGATCAAATTACCGTCCTGCCATTTCCTGATTATATCATTTTGTCAAGTCAAGCTGTCCCAGTTTCTTCATCTATAACTTGAAGATAATATCAATATCCTTGCTACTCATCATATGGTCCACACCAACAGCATTACTGCACTTTCTGGAAGCTCTATTTAAAGACTGAGTTATCGCAAGGCAGAGCTACCGAGAGATATCTTCCATCTGCTGGTTCAATGCCTAAAGAGCTGGAACAGCTGGGGCTGGAGCAGGCTAAAGCCAGGAGGCAGGAGTTTTTCTTTCTGTTTTGTAAGATTTATTTATTTTTATTGCAAAGTCAGATATACAGAGAGGAGAGACAGAGAGGAAGATCTTCCGTCTGCTGTTTCACTCTCCAAGTGAGCGCAATGGCTGGAGCTGAACTGAGCTGAGCCGAAGCCAGGAGCCAGGAGCTCTTCTGGGTTTCCCATGCGGGTGCAGGGTCCCAAATCTTTGGGCCGTCCTCCACTGCTTTCCCAGGCCACAAGCAGGGAGCTGGAAGGGAAGCAGGGCCGCTGGGATTAGAACCAGTGCCCATATGGGATCCCGGTGTGTGCAAAGTGAGGAATTTAGCCACTAGGGTATTGCACCGGGCCCCAAGACAGGAGTTTCTTTTCAGCCTCTCATAGGAGTAGCAAGGGTGCACTGGGGCCATGTCTGCTGCTTTCCCACCATCTGCAGGGAGCTGGACTGGAGAGAATTATGAATTGAACTTAATTGTGACCGGTAACATAGACTTGTCAAAAAACAAACAAAAAAGCCTTCAGCAATGATGTTGGGGGCTGGCGTGTCGGTTAAGTGCAATTCTATGTCCCCAAGCACCAGCACCCCACGTGGGAACCAGTTCATGGCCTGGCTGCACCACTTCTGATCCAGCTGCCTGCCTGAGGCCTGGAAAAGCTCCTGGCTCCTGGCTGGGGACTGGTTCAGTTCTGGCTGTTGCAGCCATCTGGGGAGAGAACCAGCGATGGCAGGTCTTTCTCTTGGTAACTGCCTTTCTACTAAAAAGAAATAAATCTTAAACAAACAAACAAACAGAAAAACACAGAACGCCGGGGCTGGTGTCTAATGCTAGCATCCCACATGGGGACCAATTTGTGTCCTGGCTGCTTCACTTCCAATCCAGCTCCCTATTAATGGTCTGGGAAAAGCAGATCAAATATTTAACCCCAATATCTGGGCCCCTGTGACGCATCTGGGAGATGTGGGAGAAGCCCCTGGCTCCCGGCTTTGGCATGACCCAGTCCTGACTCATGCAGCCAGCAGGGGAGTGAACCAGTGGATGGAATAGCTCACGCTCCCTCTCTTTTCTGTAATGCTTTCAAAATAAATAAGTCTCCAAACGAAGCCCACAGCAGAAGCTCGGGACACTGCCCCACTGCCCAGCCTGCTGCTGCAGGGGCAGGATCTGCTCTCAGGATCTGTTCTCTGCTTCCTGCCGGCAGCACATGGAATGGCTCAATATTCACTTTCACCTCAGAGGAAAAGAAAACAAAACAAACTGAAATTCGAGCCATATTCCAGACCCGCAATTTTAAAACAATTAAAAAAAAAAAAAGATTTTTATTGGGCCCAATGCAGTAGCCTAGCACCTAAAGTCTTTGCACGTGCTGGCAATACATATGTAATATATATAATAATTATATAATATTTATATACTATATACATATGACCTAAAAATAGAGTGGTACCTAAAAGGTGGAAGTTTTTCCTTATATCAAAGGACTAAAGAGATCTTAATAGAAGGAGAAAGTAGCCTTGAGATCGACTTCTTCCTAACTCACAGAACCTTTCTGCCTAATTGAAGAAAACAGTAGAGGAATATTTAGAACTTCAGTTCTGAGGAGATAAACCAAAAAGTCAGGAAGAGCAGGAGGAAGTGACCTATTTACACTCAGTTCTATTCCTAGATCTATCACTAATCAGTAAGTCATAAAACTTGGTTAAGTCACTTAATCTCTTGGATCTTAGTTTCATCATCTAGAAGGAGTTATACAAAATTATTTAAAAAAAAAAACTTTATTTTGATTGGAAAAAGCAGATGCAGAGAGGAGAGACAGAGAGAAAGATCTTCCACCTGCTGGTTCATTCCCCAAATGTCTGAAATGGTTAGAGCTGAGCTGATCTGAAACCGGGAGCCTGGAGCTTCTTCTGAGTCTCCCACAGGGATGCAGGGTCGCAGGCACTTGGGCCATCCTCTGCTGCCTTCCCAGGGTATAATTAGAGAGCTGGATAGGAAGTGGAGCAGCTGGGACTTAGATGACGCCAGCACCCATAGGTGCAGGATTAGCCTGTTGAGCCACTGCATCCGTCCCCAAGATTTTTAAAACAGTAAAATTCTGTTATCAACTATAAGTTACAACTTTTGGATCTTTAAAAATGAGAAACTGACCGGGTAGCTAGCACAGCCCATCCCTTGGCAAGGAGGGAAAGCTGCATTTCAGGTAAGCTTCCCGGACAGAGCATGTCAGTCCTCCGGGGCATGAAGCAGGAGGAGGGACAATCACGTGAGGTCTGAGTTACTATTGCCCTGCGGTTCGTGCTCCAGGCCTCCCCTTCAGGGTCAGGGGCTGCGGGCTTGAGCCATCCTCCACATGGGATGCCTGTGCTGCTGGTGGAGGGCTAGTCTGACAAGCTACCAGGACGGCCTGGCTCAGCCCTGGCTGTTGCAGGCATATGGGAAATGAATCTATGGATGGAAGATTTCTCTCTTGTGCTGCTTTTTTAAAAAAATATATTATTTTTTTTTGACAATCTTCTACATAGTTGATTAGGGCACAAAGGGTCAAGGGCTACAGGAAAGTGGGCAAGACCCTTGTTTACACATTTTTTTTTCTGTGTCTGGGGCAAGGGCAGGGGGGAGATAAAGGGAGAAGCCACACCTAGCCATCCTCCCCGTCTCGTGTGGGGCATGCTCCGAGGGCACTGCTGAAGTGGTCTTTTGATAGTTCAACAGTTCTGTATTGCTGCCAATGCTGTCTTTCAAGCAAACAGATACAACTTTAAGAAACTCTGAGGGCCTGGTTCTTTAACAAAAATATCAACCAGTTTTAGGCCTCTTAGTAGCTTAGACACTCCCAGGATGGAACTCTGCCTGTGAGGTACAGGGTGACCTATCTTGACCTATTTCTTGGTCTGCACTTGAAGTTAGACTTGTTATCTCTAAAGAAAGAACTGAGAATAAGAAACTTATCTTTCTCTGTGAAAATTTTTTTAACTCTTATCAGTGAAGATACTGAGCTGTAAGGAAACATTTATTGCGAGTACAAAGTCTGTCACATCAGTAACTCAATTCTCTTTTACACGGGAGGTAAAAACAAACTCCCACTCAAAGGTCAATGCTATTAGACATCTCAGTTGACACGGCTGGTATGTGATTGTGTGTGACACTGATACCTTCATCCTCGGTCTACGTTGAACCTGCCTGTGACACGGATGACAGGCGGCTTTTGTATTCACTAAGGCTCTGTGCGTGGCAGCTGCTAACTGACCACCGACCCGACTACTGGTGCCCAGTCCTGCTCTTCCTGGCTCAGGTTGGATCCAGGGTTACTCAGCATTCAGGAGACTGCTACTGACCACTGTCCCCTCAGAGATCAAAGCACTTCTTCATCTCTCCCTCTCTCCCCATCCTCCTAACCGCATCAAGATCCAAAACCAGAGAACAGCCTTTGTGGTTCTCCTTCCCTCCCTGTGAGCCAGGCCTCTCCCTAACCCCAGGCGCTCAGAGGGCTCCTCTGGCTGGCAGACGTCAACAGCTGCACATCTGTACACCTGCGACTTGGTGTAATGACATGTCACACTTCACTGTCACTGAAAAGCAGTTCTCATTTTCACAGCAATGGGTATTTCTGCTTGGGTAATCCCTGGGACGACTGGTAGAAATCCTCTTTCATGCCACAGGGACAGGTCTGTACCCCACCGGGTGATGCCAAAATAAAAACTGTCATCATCTGGACATTCCTACAGTTGTCATTAGTTCACATCCTGCCCATTTAAAGAGTTCAGTGAAAAACATAAAGCTACTGCATCCAGTCAGCAGTACCTGTTGGAACCCTGAGAATATATATATATATATACATATATATATATAAATTAAGGGCCCAGTGTAATGGTCTAGCGGCTAAAGTCCATACGGGTGTCAGTTCTAATTCCAGCGGCCCTGCTTCTACCCAGTTCCCTGCCTGTGGTCTGCGAAAGCAGTCGAGGACGACCCAGAGCCTTGGGACCCTGCAACTGTATGGGAGATCTGGAAGAGCTCCTGGCTCCTGGCTTCGGATTGGCACAGCTCCAGCCATTGCAGTCACTTGGGGAGTGAATCAATGGACGGAAATCTTCCTGTCTCTCCTCCTTTCTCTATATATCTGACTTTGCAATAAAAATAAATAAATCTTAAAAAGATAATTTTTATTGGAAAGGCAGATTTATAGAGAAGGAGAGACAAAGATCTTCCATCTACTGATTTACTCCCCAAGAGCCCGCAACAGTTGTAGCTGAGCCTATCCGAAACC